TAAATTTTGGATAACTTGGGTTTTATAAAGTTAAGGACGGTTTTTATAAACTGTTGCATTTCTGGCAATTTACATAACCCATCCGATCGCTTTTTCGAAATTTGCATGCAGACTCAACATCAAAGAATATTTAATCATAGAGTGCGTTGCGATGATAAATATTTTATACCCACATTGGTTTAATAGCTCTTATACATGCTATAATCACAGGTTTGATGTTTTGAACTTTTTAATTAATATTCTTATAACAAAGAATGCAAAGTGGTTGGATCAAGAAAAAGTTGCTTCACAAAACGAGATGAGGAAGCTGGCCTCGTGAATTGGACTAGGAAAAGATTGGTAATGGACAATAGTCATGAATTTTATTTTAAGGAGCAAAGACATACCACATAATTTATGTAATCACTACAAGCGATATTTACAAGGTATGTTAATTGCTGTTTATATAATATTATTTAGTAACTTAAGCTGATAAACTTATGAATGTTCTTTATTTCTTTAATTCGTTTTAGCTTTATGTTGATAATAAAAAGTTTTGGAGGCATATGCAGAGAGATGTTATAAGAAAGACCAAAATAACGATTTTTCGCAAATAACGGGAAAACGGTACTCAAAAAGAAAACATTATGATTTTCGAGTTCTCTGGAAAATTTCACTATAAAATATGTAGGTCTCGTCTTTGAAAATTTTTGGCAGTGAACTAGTGTTATATGTGTGCAATTATTGTTTTGATTTAATTTATTTTATTTATCTAATTTTATAACATATTAATGAACTAAATAAAAAATTTATAATTTATTTATAATTTATATTAAAGAAATTATTTTAATGAATATTTGAAACACAATTTAAAATATATAAATTTATACATTTATATTAATGAAAATTTGAAACATAATATAAAATATATGAATATGAAAATTTGACAATATTATTTTTTTTTTGTATTATTAGTAATGGAAAATTTGTAGTTTTCGCTTCATTCAAACTCTAAAAACCTCTACTTTAGTATGAAAACTTTTTGTCTAAAAAACCAATTCTTAAAAATAAATAAAATAAGGGAAGTTGTCTAAAAATCACACAATTCACCTACACAATATGTGATATTTAAATAAATCTAATCAAATATAGTAATCTAATTTGCATTCAATAAAATAGATAACATCTCTTCTTTAAAGAACCGCACCATAAATAACCACAAATACTTCTAACATAAACAAAGTTAACAACTGAACAAATAATTCAATGATATTATTTCCTTTAAGTTGCAAATATGTTAACCTTATGTTTACCGTTAAATGCTTTAAAATGTTGTTCAATAAACACACTTCGTGCTATCCTTCCAAGGAACTTTAATCCTTGTCAACACAAAAGCAACTCAATTTACAATTTGTAAGTGTATCGAACTCGATGTCAGCAATATTTTACTTTGTTCTCGACACTGCATACCAATTGTAACCAACATAAATCCACAAAGGGATTGTAAAATAAGATTGTACTTTAAGAAAGAATGAAGACGTTTTTTTTTTCAATTATTGAAAACTTGAAATATAGTTATAAAAACCTGTGTTATTTAAATCGCTAAATATATTTTATCAATAACTGACATTATTTTCATGTAATTAGTTAATATTGGTACATGTTATTATATTTTTTATATATAGTTAAATTATATTTTATACGTATTTATATAAGAATTATTTTAATTAGACTTAAGAGATAATAGACTTAACTGATTGTAAGTCTATAAGTGTACCAATAATTGTATAGTTACATACTTATACTTTTAATTAAATGTATAACTAACTGTTAATTATAAATACCACTTGAACTGTAGTAAAAGTTATTTATTAATTCCTTACCTATTTTTATCACTATAACTAGTTCTCCTAGTTCTAACCAGATCGATAGCTGAAATTCTTTCATCTTAAAGTAGTTCCGTCTACAATAAATTTCTATTTACTGTAGATTGAAGAAAAAAACATGGATAACTTATGCATAAAAAAGTGGATATATGAGAATATAAAAGATGTGTTTCTTTATATAGTCAAATATAGTCAAATAAAGGTAAAGTTGATTGTATCGATTGTCCTTTGAGGCAAAGATAGTGGTTTGTAATAAAGATAATTGGAAGTCTAGTTTCATAAAATCAGTTAGCGATACACTTTAAGTTAAGTATTTATCAAAATAGCTTATTATGTGAACGGAAGAAACAACATCTACTTGAACACTGGAGAGCCCAAACAGGCATGCGACAGTCAAAAAGATTCATTGATCCTGATCACATCAAAGTTGATGCTATCCTTGGCCTTAGCAGAAACGATATTAATATCTACACTGAACTTCTTACAGGACACTGTAGACTTAATTACCACATGAAGATTATAGGTGTGGTAGAAAGTGACTCCTGTTGACTCTGTCATGAGGAGAAGGAAACATTAGAACACGTTCTACGCAACTGCCTAGCGGTGGCAAAACGTAGACTCGATTACCTTGGAAGTGGGATATTAGTTTAGAAAAACAGTGGGATGTTAGTCCCAAGTCAAATAGGTAAAATTAAGCCCACAGCAATTACAAGATTTATAAATAGTCTAAAATTGTCCTAGTTGAGCCTTTAGGCGCACAATAGATCTTTTAGATCGGAGTGCTTTAATAGCCTATTACTTAAATAAAAACAGTATTTATCATTTTTAGGAAGTATAACTTTCACTAGATAACCTTGTAGCAATATAACCCCTATACAAGACAATAGTTGTAATGTTTAGAAGGTATAATTTCATCCAGATAAGTATATAGCAATATAACCCCTATTTAAATCCAGAACTATAATTTTGAGAAAGTATAATTTATACCGGTTAACCATGTACCAGTATAACAACTATATAAACGTTGAATTATAAATATTAAGAAATATATTTGCTACCAGATAAGCGTGTAGCAAGGAGTGTAACCACTATTCAAGACGAGACTTAAACTCTAGGAAGTATTACTTCCACCTAAACAATTTGCAATACTTTAATCTTCTGAATAACTTTATTTATCATGTGTTGCTCAATACTGCACCCTAAACACTATTATTAATTATATATTTTACTGAGCTTTTTATTAATTTATTAATGCACTTTGTCGCAATTTTATTTTTTTATATGAGAAGTAAAACATTAAAAATGAAATATCTCAGTAATTTATTTTTTCATAAAAAAAAATTAACAAAAACTTTAAATAGTAATTCTACTAAAATTTTCTAAACTATTTATATTATCTCGATGGAAAAATTTAAAAAACAAAAACTTAAAAAATGAAAATTGCAATAATTAATTTAAATTCTTTTAAAATATATTTGACAGTTTGGTTCTTAATCTTTTAAGTTGCGCACTATATATATTAGTTCACACTTAGAACTCACAGTTAAACTCCATACCGGAATTCTTAAGTTTCGCAGCTTCAAAGTTCACAAAAATTATAGTTTTTTTTATTGATTTGTGCAAAGAAACTGAATTTTAGTTGCAATTCCGCAGGACTTTTATTTACTGTTTGAAATTATTGATGGAAGACATTACTTAAGAAAACTTCTGTGATACACAAATAAATTGTGGGAGATTTTTACGACAATAAATAATTGCTAACAATTTTGATTTCACATGAACAGTTTTTAAAATGAAATATATTTTTTAAAAATAAAAATTATTTTAATATATATAAAAAATTATTAGTATATATATATAAAAAATATATAAAATCTCATTCAAATATTAGATGTTGCAAATAAACTGTGTTTTTAACTTAATCATAGCCATTCCACTACTAATTTTATTTGATATGCTTTTATAAATAAAAAATTTAATATAGTTGTTAAGACACATTAGATATATTATATACGACAAACGTTATATGTGGTATATGTCTTTCACAAGTACTATTTCACATATTTTTTTATCAATTGTCATCATTAAAATTATATTAAAACTTATATACTTGGCACGGTTTCATCAAATGTTATGAGGAATAATAAATTTTTAATATTTTCATTCTAAATCCTACAAGAAACGGAGTTTACTTCATAAATTAAAATGTCTAAAGAAGTTTAAACAGTAGTTAAAAATAGTTCAGTCATTGTTTGCACCAGTACCAGTTTGTAAGAATGTTTATAATATTCGCAACGGGACACTAAAGACTTGAATATAATTTTCGTTCATATATCTGCCAGAGATGAGCTCATAATTTAAGTCATTAAAAATTTCTTAATAGTTTCGGGGTACTTAAAAGAATATATATATATATATATATATATGTGTGTAATATAATACATATATATTAGGGTGGCCGTTATTTACGAATGTGTTCAAATTCTAGATGCCACCCCCTAAATTTATTCGAATACTCAAAAAACTACTAAATGTGAAGTTTTAGACTAATCGGATAATGTTTAGAGGTCGCTCATCGACCTTAAACTTCGAAAAATACCATTTTTTCACTTTTTTCAAATTTCTTCGCTCCCATCTCGCGTATTTTTCACCTTTGACTATTTTTACCAAATTAATATTATTCTTTAACATATTAGCTTTCAAATAAGGTAAAAATCAATCAATTTCATCCACAATTAACTAAATTATTACTAAAATAAGAAATCATACTCGACGTTTATTGAAGCTTTCAAGAGCAGCATAAATATGGGAGTAAATAAGTACGTATGAGCGAAAGCACAGTTTCTTGGACACAAAATGGTACAATATAATATTTGAAGACAATCAAATACTTCCTCACTATATACAATTGTCCACACTTGATTTGAATAATATGCACATTAATAAATATAATGAAAGGAAAGGAGTCCTTAAGTAATTTACCATATTTAAAAAAAATATTAAATTTATTTATTATTTGACAAAACTGTTTTAGTATACTTTTTAAAAGTCTTTCTATAATCTGTTATTACTTGCAATAAATATTGTTTATCTTGCTCATTTTTACCAAGGACTCTATTAAATTCTTCGAAAAGTTTTACTCCTCGCTCTGCCGTATCATTAACAGGTCTTATACTATAAACAATTTTTACCGCGTGTACATAATCTGTATGTTGGTTCCATTTTTCTGGTTCTAGGTTCAAGAAATCTGTAGATATATTGAATCGTTTAAAAATGTTAATGGTATTGCCTGTCACAAAATCCTCTAATGATTTCGATAAAAAATCGGTTACATTCTCCGTCTTCAAAACAATTCGTTTTTCTCCGTCTTTTTTAATATCGTCCACGTTGTCGTGGCTTTCATTGTTATCACTACTGTCTACTTCAACATTCATTGATATAATTTTTTTTAACTTATCTGCCATTCTTTTTTTAATTTTAATTGGAATGTTGTCATCAAAAAATGATAGACCAAATGCATTCATCGGATAAACCCCATAAATGGTTACACATCTTCTTAATAGCAGCCTCAGATATTGTCTTATCAATACATCTATAATTATACATTTCTTTTATAAAACAAAAATCTTGGTAAGCTGCTTCTGATGCTATAACACATTTGAACCAATTTTTTATGTAAACATGTATTATGAACAAACAGATTTCTTTTAGCTTTTGATCTTCGAAAAATGAACTCATTTCGAAATAAATATATCTTTAAACAGTAAAGGGCTTTGGACATCCAACGAGCATGGTGCATTGATACAGGGTCACGGAATATTGGTGATGAACTTTCTCCCAAAGAGATGATAACTAGTTCCAATAGTTCTTTATAGTCTTCTCTGCAAATTGATTTTTGTAGTTCTTTGTAACAAAAAGTTGTTATTTCATCCTTAACACCTAAGAGAATTTCTTTTGTTTACTTAAGGACTCCTTTTCTTTTATTATATATATTAATCTATTTTGTGCATATTATTCAAATCAAGTGTGGACAATTGTATATAGTGAGGAAGTATTTGATTGTCTTCAAATATTATATTGTACCATTTTGTGTCCAAGAAACTGTGCTTCCGCTCATACGTACTTATTTACTCCCATATTTATGCTGCTCTTGAAAGCTTCAATAAACGTCGAGTATGATTTCTTATTTTAGTAATAATTTAGTTAATTGTGGATGAAATTGATTGATTTTTACCTTATTTGAAAGCTAATATGTTAAAGAATAATATTAATTTGGTAAAAATAGTCAAAGGTGAAAAATACGCGAGATGGGAGCGAAGAAATTTGAAAAAAGTGAAAAAATGGCATTTTTCCGAAGTTTAAGGTCGATGAGCGACCTCTAAACATTATCCGTTTAGTCTAAAACTTTACATTTAGTAGTTTTTTGAGTATTCGAATAAATTTAGGGGGTGGCATCTAGAATTCGAACATATTTTTTTGCCCCCATACATATTACGGCCACCCTAATATATATATAATATCTATTTGTAAAGTGCTATTCTGTTTTTTCATTAAATTAAAGACAAAATAATTTAATGAAATTTTAAATTAAAAATACCCATTTTTGTTAAACATGTATGTAACATAAATAATTTGGTATTTCTCAAACCTTTATCACATGTTAACATTTGTAAGATAAAATTTTCTATTCCTGAAAAAAAAATATATTTTATACCCTTTATACTATTATGGAAAAGTATATTAAGTTGATCAAAATCTATATATTGGTGGAAGAATTAGTATTCAAGTGAAAATAATCACACTGTGTATATTTTTATATTTCATAATTATGCCAAGTTTTATAAATATCGATCCAGATTTGTATAAGTCAATAAAGCCTAACCAAAGCCTATACATTGTTATTAAAATTATAAACCACTGATATTCATTTTAACAGCAATTTTTTGCTTTTAACATACATCATTAATATATATATATATCATTAATATATGTAAAGTACAATCTGTATTCCTATCAAGCTTTAAGGTTTCTACATAGGTTTTCAAGTTATTATCTAGTAAACATCACATTAAACGATTTACCAGTTTTGATTTGACTTTTCCTTCTGGAAGATATCTGCGTTCAGCTACGAAATGTAGTATACCGAGGATTACACGACAATGTGGAATTGATATTTAAATTTGTGCGATCGGATTACACATTATTGATGTTTTTATATTGTATTTGCAAACTGTAACTGAAGGGTATCGATGCTTCAACAAAGCCAAAGTTGTTTGGTACCTTCCCTTTTCACTAAAATGTTTATGATTAATTGTCTTGCCGTATATTTATCTCAACTTTGAAGATGAAAATGTCTTTTCTTAGAAAATTTTATGTTAAGTTAAACAAATGATGCTAATAATGTCAAGTATTTCCTTAACATAAATGATCTATTAAAACCATAATGGAATGTGTTATAATTTTGCAAATTCTTTACCTGTAAATATTTATATAATAATTCAAACAAAAATAGATAATAACTGTACATCTTATGTTTTATTATGTCTTATCTATTAATATCACTCATTACATATTGATAATTAGAATTATATAATATTTTTGTTACAATTAATAAAACAGCCACTTTTGAAATTTACTATAAATTGGACAATTAGAAACATTATTGTATTGCGTGTCATATAGTTTACTAAAGGCACGAAAATGTAATACTGATACTTATATTGTTTAAAAACAAACATTAAGTATATGTTTATTCTCTTTTTATATATAGTTTCCGTCAAATCATTATAAAATATTATATATAGTAATAGCATCAAGCTTTGTTACAAGCCATGTAATTAGATGAAGATGAATATTACAAGAAACATATGTATATATCTTATAAATTTTAAATTATGTACACACTTCCACTTAACGCTTGATCCTAGCTGGTCTATAATTCCATTTTTATTATATATATATATTTTGAATGGATAAGTGGCGCAACTTTTTAATGTAATCATCACATCAAACAAATAGTAATTAAAGAAATTTAAGCTTTTTTTATAAACTATTCTCGTTATTTCTTCAAAAAACAATAATTTGTTCTACTTATTATTACTAAACATTGCTTTATATTTGTTATATATCATTGGCAGCGTATTTCTATTAAAAATACCTTTCGGTCTTCTGTGTGGCCTAAAGTGTAATACCTTTTACTTCATTATGATAGATGATTGATGATGATAGATACCTTTTACTTCATTATGATAGATGATAAATGATGATAGAAAGTTAACAGAAGTCTCGTTTGGTCATTATTCGATTATTTCATTTTTCTTTGCTAATCATCGAGGAAGAGTACCGTGCTCTTCAAAATTTTATATTATATTATATAATTACAAAATGAATACTTTAGTTATACACATTAATATTATTGTTAATAGGGATCGGAAACTCTTCTGTATTTTAGTTCCTTTTATTAGAATTTTATTCAAACAATGTAACAGTCTTCAGAACCTTATATTCGCTGCTTAATTGTAAGATTCGGGTTGGAGTTGTATGTCTAGTTTATTATTGAACTGAGATCTTTAAAAAATCTTGGCTTATGTACTTGCAAGTATTTTGCATCGTAAATAGCAACATTTTTATTTTGACTTCAACAAACCGATTAGTTTTGGAGAATGAGACGATTTACAAGAAATTTGCCTTTCACAGCGTAAGTTAGAAATGAAATTGCTTAATAACCATATTAATATTTTTTCAGCAAATGCATACTCAGTAATTATAAAGTATCTAGAATTTTTCTAAGAGTTCAGCCAACTTTGTTATATCTCTACCGAAACATACAAATAGTTTGTTTGTAACCAACACATTTGATATATTCTCCATTACCTTACATTACATTAATAATGCAGACCACATGTGATCAAGACCATATGTGTCTTGGGTTCGAGAAGCAAATCTTCAGCATTATATGTCAACAATGAGAAATATGAAGAGGAAGAATACGAACTTTCTTTAGTTTTTGCAATTGTCCAAATCAGTAACATCAGATAAAATATTTGCATACAATATGCATAGATATGTATGTAAATACATATATTTATTAAACACTTTGTGATTTAAACTAATTAATTGTACAGAAAAGGCGATGTACTGCAGAAAATTATATACGGATGAATATTAAAAAAACAAAAATATGTCATGAACACCAAATTTTATTCATAAACACTAAGTGAAATTAATACGGATGATATTTTTTTCTTGTCATGTTTCTAAACTAATTACTAAACTAATAATTTTCTATGTATTTGGAAGTGCAATATGATTTCAAAAGTTTATTTTCCCATTACCTAAACTATTTTATTCCTAATATCCAAACTATTTTAGAGAAAAACAAATGAAAATAGAAAACATTGAAGATAATTGAAACTAAAGTTTTCTTTTACTTCAACTTTTAGCTTAATACTGAATTTTTAATATGAAAACTTTCTCTTTAATTTTACTGACCCAGAAATAAGTTATAAGAAATTGTGTATAAAAGTACTTTGTGCACAGTTCAATCAACAAAAAATACAGATAATCTATCTTAAACACATTTGGTTATATTAATAAAGTAAGTTTTCTTGTAGATTAAATAAATTTAATGAATTAGTTAGTTTTCTAAAACATAGGTTTGATTTTAAATAGAAGTATAAAACGATAATAATGATTATTATATTGTGTCTCTGTTCTCATAAGTGCAGCACATTGGTATTGTTATCATTTTAAATTGATTTTATTTTAGAAATAGCTAATTCTTTTATTCTATAATCAATCTTCATTTGTTTACTCGCGATTTATTGTTATCTTTCAAGTCTAGTAATATTGTTATATGGTTAAAACCTAGACCATATGCATTTCTGTATATTTTGTATAGCTCTCATTTGCCAAGTTCCAACAAACAAATTAATATAGTATATTTTCTGAAGCCACCTGTTATCCAACTCTCGTCTTGACACGAGTTTATGAAAGCGCTCAATGGAGTTGTGATATATATACCACAAAACAGTCTTTTACTTATTGATGCTCCACAGATTTCCTGATGCTCGACCTTAAAGGCTTAAGTTTACGTGCAGTACTTTTATTAAAGAAACAGTTTAAGTTAAAGCCAGATTCGTTGCCTATTTTTATAAAGTTAAGTGTTATTAAGTATTTAGCGAATACTACGTATCCGTTAAATTATTATTTTCGTTCCCTGAGCTTCTCATGCAGCTTCTTTAGATTCCCAGAAACCTTTCACACTTGCCAGTTGCAACATGTTTCTTGTCATAGAAATGTTGCCAAAAATGACAACAGAGAGGTGTGGAATAATGATATGTTTCATGTGGAATAATTCTGTAAATATAAATATATAAAAGATAGAAACGTTAATTTTGTTATTTAGAAACTAATATTTTTTTAATTATAGTAT